TAAAGAGGAGTCTGTTGAGTTCAGTGATTAATAACCACTAAACCCTCTGCTGGGAACTCCGCTGTGGGTCGCAGTCTATCATGAGCTAGAACAACAAACTAGAATCTTTAGAACTGCTGTCATCTTCAGTCCCAGCTCCAGTCTATTTTGTTGTTGACTTTCTATTTTTCTCTCCATGTTTCGAAAGATTGTTTCGAGGACAGCACACTGTGAAGCCCGGGCTAAGAACACCCACAGAAAAATGGGGTTCAAATTTATAATCTGCCTTGTCCATGGTAGCTGTAGGTACAACGTATTTGTAAAGATATTTTTTGTACTTGTGACGCAATGCAACGAAAGAGCCATGTTTTTAGTTTGTACCTATATTGTGTTAAACTAGATAGAAAGGGCATAGCCACCATGTCTACAAGTTCACCCAAGAGAACAGTACATAGATAAATGCAAATGATGCTATCATTTTTAAGTATTGCTTCAACAAATGTATTTATTTATCTGGATTTGATTACTTGAAATTTAGATTCGTTTTTTTCTCAGCGCTGTTCAATAATTTTCTTCCACATTTTTGTGAATTTTTGGACCTCAGTTAACTAGACCCCCTTTCTTGAACTGTTTAACACTAATTATTCGTCAACATCCTTCTGTAGAACACCATCTGCATAGTCCTTAGTTATGGTGAGTCAGTAAAGCCTGTTCAATGGGTTGTACTGTTGTGTTGTGTTGTTAATCTGACACTCTATTGAAAACACATCTTTTTGAGAAAAATTCCAGTGGACAAAAACACAAGTTAACACATGATATAGGCATTAAGACAGCTCAATGCAGCCCATTGAACAGCTTTGTTTCCATTCACATTAGATGGTGTCCACACGATTAAGGTCTATTTTGCGAATTTCCTATTGTCGTCTATGAAAAAAGTAGTTTTAATTATGTCACAAAGTAACATGAATTATATGTATCTTAGAATGAACAAACAGCTTCATGTCATTTCGGTTAAGTAAGGGGTAATGTACAATCAGCTGGCTTTCACACAAAAAAATGAAGGTCAATCAAAGGGGGATTATTTTGACTGGACATTATGCTGCTTATTACACGGCTACTTACCAATAAAAATAACATAAAAAAATTAACATGAAATATTGATTTACTGAAACTATTTGATAATGTTTCAAGGAGGAGATTGCCTAATTAAAATCAAGTATTTCAGAGAGCCGTGTAATGAGGATATGATCTCAGTCTGCCAGGTACTACTTAGACCTCATTGGATGATTTAACCACAGAAATAGACAGCAGGGCTTAAATCAGCGCTATTATTATTATTATTCACTTGAATATCTTTCTCAGTGTCAGTTAAGTTAATTCAAGCCTTGTTTGAGGATGAGTGTGTGTCAGTGTTGATTTAGCTGCAGTTTGTGTGTGTAGGCACAAGCATACACACACAAGCTTTCTGAACTTGACATTATTGTCTTTATTTTTCAGGGTCTGATAAGTGATAAGCTATACAATCAGCCAGCCAAGGACTAAACTAACAACACTGCAATTAAGATGCTATTAATTGGCATATTCTGCAACCAGTTTCGATATACTATAATTCGAGTGTAACAGTATATCAGGAATTTTTCCACCTTGTTCAGACAGATGGTTGTATTGAGTTCAGAGGTTATATGTTTTTTATGAGATCATTAAACAATACAAAGAAAGAAAGTAACACAATTTTTGGGATTTTTGCCAGAGAGGAAGCTGTAGGTTACTTAAAGACTAGTTTACTATATGTTACTGGTGAATGAGTAAAAACCTGTGTGAGTAAAATTGATCTGTAGGGTAGTCTGAGTACCATTGGCGCTTACTTGTTAATTAGTTGGCTGTTCAGTCTAAAAGTGAGTGTGAGCAGTATGTCTCTTCACAATCCAAACACTCGGGGGGTCATTTCTAAGTTAACATAGTAATACATTACACGTCACATTGTCCATACAGATTTATTTCATTTGCCACATTGTTTCGTTTTTGCATATATCATGTAACATGCAGCTCAACAGGACATTATAGTTACACTCCATTCATGTATAACTGTACATGTACACGTTTGTAGATACCACACTGAATTTTGGGATACAGATTTTTTTTTCTTTCCACAATGGCATATAAAATGAAGAAACTTGACTTATTTTAGTGCATAAAACAAACAAAAACATGGATAGAAAAAAAGAATTCTTCTTTTCAGATTCTGTGTTGATAATGTGTTCTGCTTGGTTCTGTAATTAGCTGAATGGCTTACAAATTCTAATTGTAACCTTTTCAGGTATTTTTGTACAAAGAAGGGACTGATATATTCTGTTTAGAATAAAACATTAATTCATTGCTATATCTCAAGGTGTGTTGATATTATCATAACAAGCAAACATCACACACAGTGTTCATATCATTAAGTGACTAGCACTTTACACTTGTGTTGTAGGACTTTGTGACAAAGTTGTAATATCTTAGATTTTTTTGCCGAACCCCTTCAAGAATCTTAGCAATGATAGTTTAATTTAGCATTGCTTCAGGTGAGGCAGTTTACTTACATAATTCATCATTCATAAAATTATTTATGTTTTCTTAATATTAATTAATTAACAATTATTTGCTTAAAAATGGGTTAAATAATTATAAAAAATTCCAGAAATATTAAATATGAATATAAATATATAATTGACAAAACTGGTAATAGCTCAAGATAAATATGTACTACATTTACTTATTACGTTGAAAGTTGAATCTATACTTATTTAATCTTATCAACAGTACAAATCATGTATATGGCCATGTGGAATGTGAAATTAAAATGTGTATTAAGTTAACGAAATTAATTGGAATATTTTAAAAAGAAATAAAACTTTTGTAACAGTTCTGCTGCATCTAAAATGTGGACTGCAGTCACAGATACACAACAGTGAGTACTTCTCATAAAGGTTCTAAATGTTACATGATCAGCAGATATGACACTACAATAAAACTACATGTTGTACTGTTTTGTAGAATCACCTGTTGCATGATGCAAGCCATGTTCATTTCCACTAGAGGGCAGAGAATCTCATAAAGAGTAAACCGTTTCAATCGTCCTCAAAAAAGATAATTTTTCCCCTGTTTGAAATCTGCTAATTAAATCTAAATCTCCTGTACGTCCTGAACAGTATTCAAGGTTTTTATATAAAATGTGACCCTGGACCACAAAACCAGTCTAAAGTCGCTGGGGTATACAGTATTTGTAGCAACAGCCAAAAATAAATTGTGTGGGTCAAAATGATTGACTTTTCTTGTATGCCAAAAATCATTAGGATATTAAATAAAGATCATGTTCCATAAAGATATTTAGTAAATTTCCTACTGTAAATATATTAAAACGTAATTTTTGATTAGTAATATGCATTGCTAAGAACTTCATTTGGACAACTTTAAATGCGTTTCTCTCAATATTTTGAATTTTTGCACCCTCAGATTCCAGATTTTCAAATAGTTGTATCTCGGCCAAATATTGCCCTATCCTAACAAACCATACATCAATGGAAAGCTTATTTATTCAGCTTTCATATGATGTATAAATCTCAATTTCGAAAAATTGACCCTTATGACTGGTTTTGTGGTCCTGGGTCACAAATGTAAATGTCTATCACTGTGACAAGAGTAACTGTGCACTTTTAGATTTATGTATGGGCTTTTTTATGCCTTTATTTGGACAGGATAGTGTAGAATAGACAGGAAAGCATTGGGTGAAGAGGGAGGGGTGCGGGATCGGCAAATGACCACGAGCCTGGATTCGAACTTGGGTCGCCGTGAGCACAGTTGCGCTGTCTGTCAGCGCACTAACAGCGAGGTTACTGGCGCAGACCAATTTTAATTTTAAAGTGACAGGCACTGCGATTGACAGAGACTGTATGAGTTATATAGGTGTTCAGTAATTATAGTCAGTCAGTCTTGAGCCCCCAGCATTTTAGTTATAAATGCTAGCTGTGTCAATTTACAGTATCAGCGGAAGACTGATTTTAAGAGTAATGTGTTTTGCTCTGAACTGTAATACAGAAATAGGCCTATTACCATTTTTTTTATTGAATTTGTATTACCAAAAACACTTGGGAACTAGAAATCAGACACATTTTTCTTAAGGGAGGGGCTTTAACCCATTCATGACTTGTAGGGATATATTATGTTTATGCTCCACTGTTAGAGAATAATTACTTTTATTATTTGAAATAACTTTCTGAGTTTGAGATTTGATGGGTTAAAAAAAGGAGCAAACTTTAGATAATTTGGCAGTGAGATTTGGCAGACATGCAATTATAGTACCTTTGTGTTTCATCACTAAAGGTTTTATTTTTGTATAAGGGTTTTATTGATAACATACATTGCAAGGCTAGTCCTGATGGATATATTCAATATGTGGCTTTTGTGGATAGGTTTTCACTCAAATAGTCTGTTTTTGTTCTTTGGTTCCAGAGCTAATTCACTCAAGATGTGAGAGGGAAACCTGTGATCTAATGCAGATCTAATGACTAACTTTACAAGAAAACACATTTATTCCATAATACAATATATTATTGGTATATTGTTGTCATTTAAATGAAATAGCTGTAAACTGTACAGAGGCACTTCAGATGCCCTAATAACTGCAAAATAACAGTTCATTTTGACGGCTAAGACATAGGATAGGAGACAACTAAAGATAATCTGTGTAGTTCATACATTTCAAGTGTAAAATATTTTTTTCAGTTGGTATATGCTATTATTGATTTAAAAAAATATTATTCAAAGTGATATAATTTGTGTGTCTGTGTATTGGTCTGTATGTCTGTTATTGTATTAATGTTTGTGGAAAGTGAACAGGTTCTCATTAACTCCTTATGAATCAACTCCTCTTGCCCTGCTTCTGCTTGTGTGTGTTGCTCTGAATGAAAGCATCGTTCTGATTGGCTGTCTGAACAGTGGCAGGGCTGATAAACCCCCAGGCTTCCCTGCTGTTCCACATCACTCTGATTTGCTCTGTGTGTGTGTATGGGTGTGTATATATGTGTGTTTGAAACAAACAGAAAGCGTGTAAGGACCAACGAGAGGGAGGACTCTTCTTTTTTGCCTAACACTGTAAGTACAATGAAAGCTATTAGAGGAAAAAGAGAGATATTTTAAGCATAACGCTTGTTGAGTGGTTAGAACACCGTCCAGGTGCAAGTTCCAAATACAGGATTATTATGGGATTTTGTCAGGTGGATGCCATGTATAACTGCTGAGGTGGATTGTATTTAATTCTAGTATACTGAGTTAAAAAAAAAGTTAACGTTACCATGTCACTTAAAATGTGATTAGCAAATTGTCACCAGACTTTAGCTTTTTACTCCATTTTTACAGCACCTGCTTCAGAACAGCATAACATGTCATAAAGATATCTGAACTTGCCAACCTTCAACTTTAATTCTGTTGACAAGGCTTTACAAATCAAAATCAGACTCATAATAATCATTTAAGATTTTACATGCATTTTTTCCTCAAAATTATTTTAGGAACATTAGGGCAATAATTGATTCATTAAATGCTTCTTTGCATTTGCTGGTTTGTTTGTATTGAGGAGTATTCCTAATATTCCTATCATATTCCTATATTACAAAGTACAAAAAAAATATATATATATATTTTTTTAGTGCTAGAGTTTGTTGATATGTTTGTGCTTTGTCCTCTTATACTTAACAATGTTTGCTTGTTTGTGTGCATGTGTAAAAATGAACAACTTTAATAGTACTTACTGGTACGTAATCAAAAAGACCAGTCACCTTCTGGATGAGTCATTACATGCACACACACACACACACACACACACTGACACATCTCAATCCATTTGTATTATGTGGATTAGTGTGAAGAGATAACAGGCATACAAATAATTAGTAGTAGGCACTGTTACCAACCCTGCTGACAGAGCTTGTTTAGAACAATGATTTGATTAGTATAGTGTCTTTCTATTACATTTGCATGTGCCCTGTGTCAGGACAATCAGTGTAATGGATTATTAAATTAGTGTGAATTAGCTGTACCAGTATACTGTTAACACTATCTGTTGGAAAAGTTAACGTCAATGATAAAGTATCATTGTTAATTTTTTTTATAATATGTATTTGGCAACCTGTGATGTTCTTATCAGCAGAATGTTGCTACTCATGTGAGATGACATGGATGATGACTGATGATGTTTTAATATACAGTTTTTGGACCCAATTTCAAATTCACACAAATTGAATGAATCTGTGCACTCTGTTTGAGGTGCATTTGTTATTTCAAAGTATGCTGCAGGGTTATTATCATTAACTAAAACTATTGAAACGGTTTTTGATAACTGAATTAAAGCTGAATGAAATAAAACAATAAACTAAATTTCAAATGAAAACTGAAAATATTAAGAAAAGAAAAAAAAGTGATGGAAATATTTTATGTAATGGCCTCAGAAGGAGTCAAAACAGTATGTTCAGCATAGAATGTTCAGAAAAGTGCAGACTAAGAATGCTTTGATCAAAAATCATGTCCCTATGATTAAATAATCTATACTTACCCAAAAAGTGCTTAAAACAGTAGAACTAACAGTCTTATGACAAACCAAATGACCAGATCAGTATAACCAATTACATTGAAGAAGACTTGAGTAACATTTATTTTTACTCAACTACAAGGTATAAATGTTCATGCATCCTTCTGTTTAAAGAGTCTCTCTTGGTTGGGACCTGCAAAGAGCAACTTGGGAGTGGTGTCTGGTATATGCTGCGCAGCTGAGGAATAGAAGTACTAAAGATTCTATGCTCAAAAGACCACCACAAAGACAGCGATAGTGTTGGAAGACTACAGAGCCGTCCTCGGGCTGAGGTAACAGCTGAGAAGGGCGGTGAGAGTGTATAGATGCTAAAGACCTGTGTGCTCATGTGTGATTGAGGTAGTGATAGTACCTTCTTGACGGGACGCCGTCACCATACTTCAGGGAAGTATTGGATTGGATTGTAAGTATTCTGGGAATTCAGGGAATTAGTATGAGATACTGTAGTTATTATATTATATTATATGTGGTGGTCAGATTAGCATTGAAAATTTCCACGACAAAAGCTAATTCAAAATATTAATAAAGCTACAATAGTATTTAAAATATTACTAAAATAATAATTCTATGCTGTGATATTATTTATTATGCTGTGGGAATTATTACAATTAAAAAAAGGGAAAAAACTAATCTAATGTAACTAATGTATAGTTTAATATTTGCTATAATTACATTTCATGTCTTGAAAATGTGGCCTCTGGCTGTGGTTTTCCTGTTAAGATACTGAGAGTCATGTTGACCATGCAAACAGTCTCAATAAGACTAATATAATTACGCCTCTCCTCATTGAAAGGAACCTACATCAGTTTGTCTTTTATTCTCCACACTGAGAGATTATATTCCTTTTCAGTCAAAAACATGGATGCTGCTGAGTTCCGGAGACGTGGGAAGGAGATGGTGGACTATGTGGCCGATTATTTAGAGAACATTGAGAAGAGGCAGGTTTACCCTGATGTGGAACCTGGATATCTCAGGTCACTGATTCCTGAGGAAGCCCCGGAGGAGGCGGAGAGCTATGAGGATGTGTTCAAAGACATAGAGAGGGTGATCATGCCAGGGGTGAGTCAGTGCTGACCAGTTCCTTTACTTTACAGTCATTACATACTATAGTTCTCAGATCTCAGATCTTGTGTGAAAAGATTTTTAATGTCTTGACTTGTAACATTTTATATTTCATATTTTAATAGGATGTTTCTCTTTCTTCTAGCTTTATGGCAATTTATATATTTTATGTATGGTACATTTTAAAGCGTTGCTAATAAGCTATTAATCATTTCCACCATTTCTGCAGCAGAAAAAATTTGCAACTTATTGTGCATGTTAACATCTGTGATGAGAGCACCCCAATAGCAGAGGAAACTACAGTTTATTGACACTGATTAAAACGTCTGTATTTAAAATGTATCTGTTTTTATTTTTCTATTAATTATATTTTTATCTATTTAACAACATTTTTACAGTAAAATATAAAAAAACACAAAATGTATGAATAAATTACAAAAATAATAAATAATATAAACTTATGTAATGTAATCATTTTAAAAACTTTAATATTTCAGTTAAAATCTGCATTCATTGTACAGTATAGTTGAATATACAGTATGTTAGTATGACTTTGTCTTCAGTTACTTTAGTTTAGGGACCAATTCTCCCTGTTAAGTAGTTGCTTATTAGTATGCATATTACTGGCATATTGGCTGTTTACTAGTACTTATAAAGCTTATATCAATGCCTTATTCTGCATATTTTAGAACCCTTAATTTTACCCAACACCTAAAATTAACAGCTACCTTACTAACTACAGTAATAATAAGCAGCAAATTAGGAGTTTATTGAGACAAAAGTCATTAATTAATAGTGAGAATTGGTCCCAAAACTAAAGTGTGACCTTCACAGGTTTATCCAACAGCTATAGGATAAAAATATGGTTATTGAAATTTTAGTTTGGAAAAATTAAATTCACACACACACAGACACACGCACGCACGCTCACTCACACACACACTCACTCAAAAGTATTGTACTTAAAACAAAACAAAACCTAAAAAAATTAATAGTTGAGTATTTGAACCTGTCTTTTTAATCTTTGTCTTGTCTTTGATGCTTTGAATTTATTGTATCAATCTCGAAAAAAAGAAAAGAAAAAAACCTTATTAAGCGTTTGTCAGCTTTTATCTTACAGTAAGTTGTGTATATTGCACTTAATGACGTTATGTCCATCATTTAAATTTTACTAAGCATTAAACAGATACGATGATGTGATTATATACTGTATCAAGGATGATGTAACAGCAATGCAAATATTCATATCTTGTGCAGATAAAGATATTAAATTTTTCTTGCCGGTGACCACATCAAGAGAACCGTCTCTAAGTTACATATGTAACCACGGTTCCCAGAGGGAACGAGACGCTGCGTCGAAATCGCTTTGGGAACGCCCCTGCATGACCGCGTTCTGAAGCACCTGTCAAATCAGTCCAATGGAGTAACGAGATGTCACGAGCGGGGTGACGTAACTACCAGAAAGTATAAAAGCGCATCCGGCAGAGCGCAAACCAGCATCGATGAAGTAGTGCCTGGAGGGATGCAGGGAGTATGGCAAAGAGACGCAGCATCTTGTTCCCCCGGGGAGGAAACAGGACATGACGGGGCCTTTTAGTGAGGAAATAGCGAGGAGTCTTGAGCGTGAGCAACTTGACCGAAACTTCTTCTATGGGTTCAAAGGGGGCATTACATAAGCTCTCCAGAACCACAGCCAGGTCCCATGAGGGCACCTTACTGCGCTGTACCGGCCTCAGCCACAGGGTGCCACGGAGGAAACGAGTGATAAGTGGGTGTCTTCACAATGATTAACCGCCCAGAAGTGTGTGGTAAGCAGCTAAGGCCACCACGTATACCTTCAGAGTGGAGGGAGATAACCCTGCTGGGGTACAGCTGACAGAGAGCGGAACTTAAGTGGAGCCGGCAGGGCGTGAAGCTTGAGCTTGGGCGGAGCCGGCAGGGCGTGAAGCTTGAGCTTGGGCGGCGCCGGCAGGGCACCAGGCTCTAGGGAGGCCTTCCGGCCTTGAAGGACGGAAGAAGCCTTCTTCCTCCTTCCCCTCCTCCGTTTCCGAGAGTGTGGCACTGCAGCTACGTCTACCACCTCTGGGGGCGCTGCAACCCCTTCGGCCACCACCGGGAGCGCTGCAGCTTCTTCAGCCGCCTCTGGGGGCGCTGCAACCTCTTCGGACACCACCGGGAGCGCTACAGCTTCATCAGCCACCTCTGGGGGCGCTGCAGGTTCGTCAGACACCTTCGGTGGCGCTGCAGCTTCGTCA